ATATAGAAAAGTTGAAAGAATAGCACAATGGAAATACATCTACAGATAATCTAGATATTAGATTCAATCACTTTTAACATCTTGCTATATTTGTTTTTTGTGTGTGTTTATTTGTTTTTGTGGAATCATGTGAAAAGTTAGTTGCAATCGTAACACTTACCCCATAAGTATTTCAACAAGCATCTCCTAAGGATGAGGATATTTTCCTACAATACCCTTATCACACCTGAGAAGAATGTACAGTATTTCCTTCATCTAATACTCATTTCTAGAAGTTGATGTGAATGCCTTTACTCACATACCCTAGATCTGCCTAGAGGTCACTGGTGAACAGTTCCCCATATAGCAGGTGACTTTCTGACTATTTTTTGCCTGGATCTGAAGTGCTGGGAATTCAACACTCCAAGAGTGTCCCTTAACCAGTGATGAGAAAAATTGATGGATAAATAAATACCTAAGTTTCCTTTCCCCTCACAGGTTGATTCTGAGGTGTGTTCTATGGAACTTGTCAAAAGGCCCACAGTGACAGTTGCCCCCAGCAGTGACCTGATCATAAGCACACCCTATATTAGTTTTCTTTCTTTCCCTATCACATTTCATACTGAGATGATCTTTAAACAAGTTATTTGCAGCCAAAGTTTTGTATTGGTATCTGCTTTGGATGAACTCAGAACCAAGACACCAATCCATTGCTAAACTTATTTAAAATAGTTAATAGTAAAACCTTTAAATCCACAGAGGAGCAAACTCAAAACCTGCTTAGTTGGTGCTTACAACCCAGCCAATAGGAACTAATCTCAGTTATGATGCTTATTGGAATAATGCTATAGTGAGGCTATGTTTATTAATTATGCCTTGCCAAGTCTATATTAATAAAATAACTGCTACTACTTATTAAGAGTTCACTATGTGTCTGCATACAAGTTTAAACTGCAAGGGTATGCTCATATGCAGTTTCTTTTTACTTATTTATTTTTTTGCATAGAAGAACTGGGACTAGGCCAGAGGTGGAGGGGGTGAGAGGATTCATCAGAGGCAGAGTGGGGAGCAGAACAGGGGATTTACTGAAATACACTGCTGAGGGGAGCAGCAGGTGAGACTGGAGAGGTCTGCTGTGCCACGTAGGTCAGCTCCCTGGCCAGGGATCCAACTCAGGCTGTAGTGATGACAGTCTGAGACTTAACCCTAGACCACCAGGGAGGCCCCTACAGTTTCTTGTAAACCAATTTTCTTGTGAATGTATGGTATTGATAAATGCAGTATATGTGCATGTTTTTCTCTACCTTAAGATTTTCTAAATATTTTGTCTCTAGTCTTATTATATTTGCTGTAAGAATACAGTATCTAATATATAAGATATATATTGACTATGTTATTGATAACACAAGCATGTGATCAGCAACAGGCTATTAATAATTTAATTTTGGGGAAGTCAAAAGTTATGTGCAGATTTTCAACTGTGTAGTACTCGGTTTCCCTAACCACTGCATTGTTTGAGGATCAACTGTATTTTCATTTTATTACATATAGCACTCACAGCAGTTCCATAGGGAATGCATTATTATTATTTCCATTGTAATGATGAAGAACCTCAAGTTTTTAGAGATAAAATAGCTTTTTGAAGTCACACATCAAGTAACCAGTGTTCAACTAATGTGTTAAAACATACAGGTAGGGCCCTCCCTGGTGGCACAGCGGGTTAAAGCACAGCACTAAGAAGCTAAAGCCACTTCAGCATGAGTTCAATCCCCACCCTGGAGGTGACCCAAATCGTGTAGCAGACCTCTCCTGACCCGCCCACTGCTCCCCTCAGCAGTGTACTTCAGCAATCTGCCTGTTCCGCTCCCTGCTCTGTCTTTGGTGAAGCCTTTCACCAACCCTGCACCTCTGGCTTGCACCGTAGTTCTGTATACATAAATAAGTAAATCTTTAAAAAAAAATGTAGGTAACAATAATCTTCTATTCTTATATAAGGTCCCACTTATGTAAGAATACTTGCCAGATAGAACATGCATTTTAACAACATCATAGACACATTTATTTTATTTATTATTTTTTAAAGATTTATTTGTTTATGCATACAGAACTGGGGTACAGGCCACAGGTGCAGGGGCGGTGAGAGGCTTCACCAGACACAGAGTGGGGAGCAGAAAAGACAGATAGAAGAAGTACACTGCTGAGGGGAGCAGCAGGCAGGTCAGGAGAGGTCTGCCACGCCATGTGGTCTCCTCGGGGGCAGGCGGGAATCAAACTCATGTGGAAGTGGCTTTAGCTTCTTAGTGCTGTGCTTTAACCTGCTGCGCCACCAGGGAGGGCCAACACATTTATTTTTTAACCAATAAGAAAAGTTATCCTTGGTCTCCCTGTAAGCTCAAGATGTTAAGTCTCAGCATTATGAAGTTATAGGGAGACACTGCAGCGCAAGTTCAACCCCTGGCCAGGAAGCTGACCACATGGTGCAGCAGACATTTCCTGTCTTGCCTGCTGCTTCCCTCAGCAGTGAACTTCATCAATCTGACTGTTCTGCTCCCCACTCTGTCTCTGGTGAATCCTCTCACCCCGCACCTCTGGCCTGCACCCCAGCTATTGTGTGCATAAATAAATAAACAAACAAACAAACAAATAAATAAATAAATAAATATATTTTTAAAGTTATCCCCAACTGGTAATTCCCAAAAGTGTAATGCAAAGAATCCTCAATCAGGTGAGAGTCTTAAAGGCCTGAAACTTTTCCTGGCAGTGCCTAACTTAACACATCTTACACAGTGGGCATGGGTTACCAGTGGTAAGTAATATTTTCCAACATTATTTAAGTTATACAGAATCTTCCAATGTTTTGGCTATTGTGAACAACCTTTCTTCAGATTTGTCCAGTCACAACTCCAAGACTATCAGATTATTAAAGCACAATCACTCACCTTGAACATGACCATGTTTAATGAGACTTCCTACAGATTTTTGTACAAGGTCAGTCTTTCCTGGAACAGTTGCATCCCTGTTAGTAATATCTGTCCCCACCTAGTAATTTAGGTACACATAAAAGCTTGGATCTTAAGAAGATGTCTTTCCCAATTGGTATCTTCTCTAAGAATCCATAAAAAGAAACAGACTTTGAACCCAGTTTATCTTATTCGCTTGACTGTCATAAAGTGCTCAAATTCAACTATTAAAAGATGGTAACAGGAAGAGGATTCAGAGTTCTCAGACGGAGGAACAAGTGGCCAAGAGAGGCTGTGGAAAAGAGCACAAGAAGTAAGTGGTAAGACTTCATCTTCTTTAGAAAGTAGAGCCATGAAGTGAAAAACTAGCCAAGTGAGGGCATTCCATTTAAAAAGTTGCTCTCAGTGGGGTAGAAGGGATATCAACCCTCCTTAATAGGGCAGAGTGAGAACTACCAAGAAGCCATGCCTCTGAGTTCTTACTAGGTACCTACAATGGGCAGTGCTTAAAAACTCTGATGCCCAGATGCTGAAGTCATCACTGTTAGAATACTGGGATACCTTTGGGGCAAAAATTTTAAATTATGAAAGAGTAGATATTTGTGCTAATGACATCTTATTGAAAATTTGATGCAGGTTTGCTACCCAGAAAGAGGGAACCTGGCAGAAACAAAACTTGCTCCTGTCAGGACAGGCCTGGCACAGGGGAATAGCAGAGGCAGTGAAAAAAAGTTATAAGTGTGTTCCAACTCTTAAAGGTAAAATATTTGCATTAAGGGGCCAAAATTCCAAGTTGCCATGGTCTGTGGGTGGCCATGGACTGGAAGGGATTAACATTAGATTTTTTTAAAGATTTATTTATACATACAAGAATTGGGGGACAGATCAGAGATGCAGTGGGTGAGAGGATTCACCAGAGACAGAGTAGGGAGCAGAATAGGTGGACTGACTGAAATACATGCTGAGGGGAGCAGCAGGCAGTTGAGAGAGGTCTGCCACACCTTTGTGGGTCATCTCGCTGGCCAGGGATTGATCTTGTGCTGCAATGTCTGCTGATAGCTCCATAGTACTGTGCTTTGACCTGGTGTGCCAGGGAGGGCCCCAACACTAGATTCTTAAAGAAAGAGAATTGTAATCTAGGCTGTAGGTATTGAGATTTCCTGGGTTTGAATCCTGGCCCTGATACTTACTGTCTTTGGGATCTTGGGCAAATTATACCATTTCTCTGGAAACAACCTCAAGTGGGTTATTAGGGGATTGACTGAGATTGAAATAATGTGCATAAAGTATTCAGTACAGTAACGTGTTGCAATGAAAACATTTTTATGTGTTTCTACTATATTCATAGTGGTACTCTCAAAAGGAAGTGATAATATATGTCTTTCTTAGATGCAAATAGAGAATATTGAGAGGAAGGCAGCAAAAGCACCGAGCAAGAGAGGAAAACCTGAATTTGTTATTTATTATTTTTAGTATACACTAGGTCGAGGGGAAAAAGTATTACGAGAGGAGGAAAACAGAGACTAACAAGGTTTTATACAAAGGCCATATTCTGATTGAGTTTTTCCTAAGGAACAAACCTTTCAAATCTATGGGGTTTTGAAACTGTTTGCAGAGAGCAACTTACAAAAAGGACCCAAGAGAGGCTTTCAGAACAGGAATGATTTCATTAAGTAGGGATGTCCTGAGAATAAAGCAAGTTGCATTTCTCTCTCTGTTGTTAAATGACATTTTACAATTTCTCTAGAGAAGACCGGCTTTGTCTTCCTCAGGGCTATCTAGTCGCTGCCCTACATCTTATAGCCTATTTTCTGTGGTTTGTTTTTTGTTGCCTTAAAAAGAATTCCTTAATACTCAAAGTACTCTGAACTTAGTAGTAGAAACAGGATTGTTTAATTAAAAACCAGAAGTATTACCGTTATAGCTGGGATGACTCAACTGGGACTTTATTTTAAATGTATAATAGACAAGAGGAAGGTTCATCAACTCAGCATAGACCAAAGTACAGAACCAACAGGCATTCTTTTTCCCTCAAGCAGATCAGACTTAAAGTCATTAAAGATGGCATGGAAGAGCAGTGGCCTAAATGGAAAGTGCATATATCTCCTCATAGTGATTTTATTTCTGCCATGTGAGATAACAAGTAAGTTAAAATTCTATTTGGCCTCTTTTTAGATAATGAACAAATTTCAGATTAGAACATGATTGGTAAACATGATTATAAAGACAACACAATTAGTATGAATCAGAATACAGATATAGTAAATAATTTTTAAAATACTGTTTTTATAGTTCTGATATAATAAGCCAGGGCAAAGTATTCTATTCTCTCCAGAGCTAGTCAGAAATTTTCCTACATTTTAATGAATTTAATTACTAATTTCACCCAAAATAATCTTCTGTTAACTGTTGATTTGAACATACCACTTACACGAACATCTTTTTCTCGATGCTACCCACTCTAATCTGGAAGTATTTTTTTTTTTTTACCACCACCATTCTCCTTGCCCCTAACCCATTTAAAAAGTAACACACAGTCATTGTAAAAGAAATTAAGAAATATACAGAAGAAAAGAAAAATCTAATTACCCAAAGATAACTACTCAAAGTTTTAGAGGCAACAATCTTATTACTTCACCAGTAGTTTATGCTTTTTAAAGTAAAAGTTAATGTTTACAGAATATATTAACAAATGTTGTGTAGGAGGCAGGATTGTGACAGCTGCAGTCCTTTTTTAGTTTTTGTTACTTGCTTCTGAACCAGGAAAGTAAAAATGAAAGTTCAGATAGATACATTACTATATAATGAATGGATTTCTAAAAATCTGTAATGAAAATAAACTATGTACCCTAAAATCTATCCTATAACTTGTCTTCTCCATGAACCACCCTTTTAAAACACCTTCTTATTTACTACACTGCCAAAATAATATTAAAACATCAGAAATGTCACATCAACTTTGTTCATAATCTTATATCTAATCAGAAATGTTTTCAAATCAGCTTTTGCCCATATGTATAATCAAGGTTGATATAGTAACTATAAGATAAAAAATGTGTATTTAACTGTTTATCTGTGTTATACCTTAAATGTTTCCATTTTTCTAGTCCTTTTCCTTTGTATTTCTCACTCTCATCCCTTTACTTTGCTACTTCCAATCCCTAGAAGTAAACAACATTTAAGTATATACTTATTTCTCCATTTTTCCTCTACCGATATTTTCATAAGATTTTTCCTTATAAAAAGGTGTGTGTGTGTGTGTGTATGTGTGTGTGTGTGTAAATGGAGTTGATTCTGTACATACTGGTCTCTAATAGAGTGTTCCTCAAACTTCTTTGCACATTAGAATTGCCTGGAAGGGGGTTTAAATTCCTCCCTGCCCACCCACCTTCCCAATGCCCAGGTTGCAGTCTAATCAATTAATCACAAGCTCTGGGGTTGGAAGCCAGATAGATTCTCAAGTAGTTACATTGTGTAGCAAAATTTGGTAACCATCATTTTAACCTTTTCCTTTTTTAGTTAATAATAAACTATGGATCTTTTTCCTCATAAAATTTAGGCTGGGAATTTATGTTGTTTACTCTATGTTAACAGTTTCTTTCTGTACTCCTAGGTTCTGTTTTAACTGTGAATGACAAAACTGAGAACTACATTCTAGATACTATGCCTGGCTCCTATGAATCTCTGAAATGTGCTGTTCAAAACCCCACCAGAGAGGAAGAATTACTCTGGTACCGACAAGAAGGAACAGTGGATTTGAAATCTGGAAACAAAAAAAACTCAAGTTCTGTTTGTGTATCTCCCGTTAGTGAAGATGACAATGGAGTCACCTTCACCTGCAAGCTACAACGAGATCAGTCAGTGTCCCTCTCAGTGGTGCTGAATGTCACTTGTGAGTAGGAGAAAGGCATTGTTGTCGGCGGCACTGCATTAAATGGGAGGCAGATAGTTGAAATGAGTATCTGCTATTTTAATATTTATTTTATATTGCCAACCTACCATATTTATATCCCCACAACAAAACATGAGGATATTAGCTCTCCACACCCTCATGTACACTGGGTTTTCTTAAACTATGAAATTGCCAGGCAGATTTGAAATTTTATGCCCACTTTATAAATTAAGAATAAGCTTTAGCCTTTCAAAATGTGTTAGCTATTCATGCTTCTTTATGTAAAATGCCTGTTCATGTCCTCTATCCAGTTTTCTGTTAGATTATTTGTCTTCTCCTCATGGGTTTGGACAAGGGTTTTTGTAAGTTCAGAAAAGTAATCTTTTCATCATTTTGGGTTTGTAAGCATTTCTTCTATTTATTTTGGACATTTTGATAGTGTTTTAGTCCCATTAAAAATTTTATTGTCTTTGTATTTAAAATTACTAGTCTTTTCCTAGGTAGATTCTAGCTTTTTAGCTTTTGTGTTCTACTTAGAAAAATATTCATTGGGAATCTCTTTTCCCTCTATTGCAAATCTTTTATTTTCACCTTACAACCCCCAAAATGTGAACCTCTTCAATGATCAGATTCCAGGTATTGGTAACCCATTGGTGAAACTCTGTAGGGTTAGAGGTCCTTCAGATGATACTATGCAGGTAGACAAGCATGTAAGTGGTTTAGGTCGAGAGTTGGTTCTGTATGAAGGAAGTGCCCATGTTGTGTGAAAGGTGGTGTGCAGCAACATGAGGGTGATGTGGTATGATTTGGTGGAATCAGCTCTGGACTTGGAACCTAGCAATAAAAATCAAAGCCAGACTGAAGTCCTGACTCATCACAAATAGAAATAAAAACAGAACACAAATTGCCAGGTACTTAGTTCAGTGCTCCTCTCTTTGTACCCTCTTAACAGAAACATGACTTATAATATTCTTGGGCGGCTTAAAGAAATGACTTTCAGCTTTTATGACTGAATCCATTTTCAAAAACATCATTAAAACAACCTCTAAACATTATTGTCACTAGATATACACATACACATGCAAACACACACACAATTGGTCAGTGATTCAAAATGACATCATAAATTGGTAAGTCAAAGTGAACTCATAAATGATGAGAATATCATATACAGCCTTAAGGAAGCATTATTCTTTTAATTAGCACACCAAGAAATAACCAAAAGCTTGATAACACACTATTAGGAGAAGAGTATGCAGAAACCAGTACTCTCATGTATTATTGCTGAAAGTATAAATTGAGACCAATCTTATCTGAAATATCTATCAAAACTTAAGTCTATGATTCTTCATTTCTTCTAGTTGCTAACCTCAGACACAAGCACATTGCAAAAACAGACATACAAAGAGAGTTATTATAGCATTGTTTTCAAAGTTTTTAAATAAAAATGACCTAGTATTCAGCTAATGGAAAAAAAGATTAAAGGGGCACCCATGATTCCATAACACTATAAAGGCAATAAGCTAGAGCTCTGTGGTTCAATGTAAATATATCTCAAAAACACACAAATCATTGAGAGAATAAAATACACTATGTAAACCCTTCTCACCCCCCTAAAACAATATATTTTCTAAGGATATGTATAGAAAACAATTAGTTCTGAAAAATTTGCAGACATACATCAAACTCTGGGGAGTCAGCAAGTGACCAGAATGGAGCCAAAAAGGATCTTCATTTTATCTGAAAAGGACATTGCATTTTTGAAATGCAATGCTCCCATTTAGCTGATATACTTAAATATTAATTTTAAATAGTTACATGAAAAAGTAACAACTAAAAGGACCTCTCCCCAAGTGGAACTGATATATTTGGCAATTATGTTCTCTATTCTAGCAGCTTCCTACATATCTGAATTCCACTTAACATCCTTATTGGATATGGATACAGAATTCAAGCTCACTTCAAAGAGCAACAAAATGTCATTCTTCTGAGAGTTATTAATAGCACAGCCTACTCAAGGTCTAATTATTCAGTGTGCAAATTATTCAAGCTCCTTTTTCTCCTCCTTCACCACCTCTACCTCTTTCCTACTACCCACTTTTTTAGTATTACTTTTCTGTACATAGGCCAGAAAATGCAAGGGGCATAGCATAGAGAAGAGAGGGCAGGTCAGCTTAGCCATCGTTCCCCCTAGATGTTGGAAAGCCTTGATGAGGGTGAAGTTTGGAGATATTTGGTGAAGATAAAAGTGTTCAACTATCTATGAGTTTACAACTACCTTTATCAAGGAGGGATTAAGGAGCTGGTTACACAGAGGGATGAGAGTCTAAGAAGGTCATACTCACTTTTCATAAATACCAGAGTTGCAATGACTGGAGCACCTCTGGAAGGACATTATTTCTAGAGGATCATTGAGAATATGTAAATATGCATTGGAAAGTATAAGGCCAGATCAGAATATGATTACATAAGATACAAAAACAGAGGACATGAGGAGTGCTCAAAAGTACTCTATCACTATGATAATAAGAGTAGTGACTAGCACTTTGGTAAAATCTTATCACACATTATCTCATTTAATTTTCATAGACGTTCATAGAGTAGGAGTTATCTCATCTTTCTAGATGAGACTTTACCAGTTAGTAACTTCCTCAAGGTCACAGTAAGTGGTAGAGGTAGAATTAGAGCTAACTTCAGTGCGACTTCTTAATATTGTACTGTTCGACCCAACAGGAGCACAGGTTGGTTTATTACATTAACTATTAAGAGCAAAGCCTTAAGTCTTATACTCTTGGATAGTGTTAAAAATTGTCTACTTTTAGAGGGCCTTCCCTGATGGTGCAATGGTTTAAAATGCAGCACTATGAAGCTATATCAGCCACTGCAGCACAAGTTCAATCCCCGCCCAGAGGTGACCCACATGGCATAGCAGACCTCTCCTGACCTGCCTGCTGCTCTCCTCAGCAGTGTACTTCGTCAATTTGCCTGCTCTGCTTCCTACTCTGTCTCTGGTGAATCCTCTCACCCCCTGCACCTATGGCCTGTCCCCCAGTTCTGTATGCATACATACATACATACATTTATTTATATATATATATATATAAATTGTCTACTTGGTATAGATTCACAATACATATGGTTTATAGTCTCCATTACATTCTAGGTCTGGAACTAGAAGTATATGATTTACCATTATATCCCCAATTCTTAGACCAGTGAGTAGCAAAGAGTAACACAGTAGTGTGTCAATTATTCAATACATTTTGTCAAATGAATGAATGACTTCTTACAAATAGGTACAAAGACCTTGAACACTGACAGTGAACTACTGCTTATAAGCTAATTAAACCTACATGCTTGAATCTTGCAGTTTCTCCTATCCTAAGTGGAGATGATGTTCAAACAGTTGAAGAAGGCAGTGAAGTGAAATTGGTTTGTAAGGTGAAATCTAACCCCCAGGCTCAAATGATATGGCACAAAAATGGCAATTTATTGAATTTAGAGAAAAATCATCACCAAATCCAACAGACAAGTGAGTTTCTTCAGCTGTCATTCACTAAGGTTAAGAAATCTGACAATGGAACCTACACCTGTATTGCCAGTTCAACTATGAATAAAGAGACCAAAGACTTTTACCTCATTGTCAAAGGTAATTCTTTTTTTAACGTTTAGCACAGTGCAAAACTCAAAATAGAGGCTTGCTCATTTTTTCTTGTGACAACAAATGATGGTGCTAATATGACTAGCAGCTAGGAGTTTAATGTTTGAACACCAACCGAGTGGCTACTGGGGAGGAAGGGTTGCTGCACTTTGCTATGTTAATGGCAGGTCATTAATTTGCCCTGCAGTAACTGTATGCCCAGGGACTACTTGCTTTAAAAACCAAACCCACAATAACCTAAGTATTCTTGGGATAGAAGCAGTGGAACAGGTACCAAGCAAGTTTGGGGTTAATCATCTTCTCAAGGACCACAAAACCGTAGTTGGCCTCCGGTCATGTCATTTTGTCTCTAAACCACACATAGAGACTAGGGAATTATATCATCCCTCTATGTTAAGAAGAAATTGTAATTGCTCTTTGTCACATTAAAATATATATATATATATACAATTTGTGTGGTAAGCGGGATGCCACGCTTGGCAAACTGGTTTTCAGGTGGGTAGAATCCTGTTTTGAGTGGAACTCTTCCAAACGAACTTGTTTTTCTTATTTCTTCCTGTTTTATTACTTCCCTGGTGGTTGGCTGCCTTCACAGCATAAGCACTCTGCTGCTGGTACTCAGGCTAAATGCCAAGTTTGCCATGAGCCTCTCCCAGCTTCATGGCTCAGTGAGGTAGTTTCTAAATGAGGCCATGCAAAACTGGAAATGACATTGTGAATCTTTTGAGCAAAATATCTTAGCTCACATGCTGGGAATATTTTGCCATAATTAAAATGTGGGTGGGTAATATTGGGGTTGGTCAGAAATAAGAGATTAAAACAGGACAAGGGGAGAGATACAGTTGTACTTGCAACGTCACTTGCAACAAAAACTTGGAATTGAAAGAGAGTCAGTGGGTTTATTTCAGCTTATTTGTGAAGTGAAAGTTGTCACATATGGCTTCAATTTATTCAGCTTGGTAAAAGATTTCAACTATGACTGAATTTAGATTTCTTTCCCTAATGGTTCTACTTTTGTCTCCTCTTCATTTTGACATGTCTCTTTAGCACTGCAAGCAGAGGGGTTCCAAATAAGGTGAAGGCCCTTTGCTATGTCCTAGGGCTTACACGAAAACAGAATTTCTCCAGAGGGTATGCACCCCATGCCTGATGAGAATGAGTTTTAGGAGCAACCAAAACAGCTGGGTTATGGCTATCATAAAGAAATTAACTTACTCGTTGATATAATCCTGAGCAGGAACTGGACAAATGATGGAGTAGAAAACAATTAAAAGATAACTGCTTAGTGTGTCATACAATCGTGAAAAGATAACTGTGATTTCATATCTTGAGGTACATGGGGCTTGAGCATTGAAATTAGAGTTATCTAAATGCATCTCTTCCCTTCTATCCTCAGCCAATACTATTTCATGACACTGTATCTGTTATAATATTATCTTAATCTGTAGTTGTTGTTGTTTTAATTTGTTTAATGTCTATTTTCTCCACTAAAATATGAGCTCCATGAAGGCAAGAACCTTCCATATTTGTCCTTCTATTTTTTTGTTTGGCTAAGCACAGTGCCTAACATGCAGTAATCATTCAATAGATATTTGTTAACTATACATCAATGCAAAACTCAACTGAAAATAAACAGCACACTCTTGATTTCCTATAAGTTCCTAAAATTTACTCTTTTAACTTGACTGAAGTTTCTTCCCCTCCAATAGTGGGCACCAGCCTTAAAGAGGTTTATAAGTACTCTTGATCGTAAGGACTCTTCCTTTTGAAAGAATATAGGAGATAGTTTCATCCTATATCACATGAACCATATTAAAACAAAGCACACACAGGCCCTCCCTGGTGGCGCAGCGGGTTAAAGCACTGCACTGAGAATCTAAAGCCGCTTCCACATGAGTTCGATTCCCGCCTGCCCCGGA